CACCACGGACGACGTGACCATGAGGGAGTCAGGGGAGTGCGAGATCACGCCCAGCACGGACGTCAAGTACCCGCAAGGCAGCATCACCTCCCTTCCCAACCAGTGGCTCCTCATAGGTGCGGCCATGGTAGGCACAGACTCACCCATGTCCTGGCTCCCAGACGGTGCCCGGCAGGGAACACCCCCAGCTGCTGCTGTGCTTTAGGGACAATAGGCCTACCTGCTCTGCCCAGTGGGGTGAATGGGATTAAGGCTGAGTCACCTCAGGCTGTGGTGACACTGGCCTGGGACTCCTTTCAGCCCCTCCTTGTCCCCTCCCCAAGAGTGACTGCCAGACACCCCGTGCAGGGGTGGGCAGGGACCCTTTGAAGCAGGGCTCACAGTTACCAATGCTGGGGGTCCCATGAGAAGCAATCCCCCTACTCCAGGAGAGCCAGGGCTGCTGGCAAGGGCTGGATGGTGAAACCAAGAGGTGAACTGAGGGTTGTCTCTGTTCCCCTCCTGCCACAGGGCACCATGAGCTGCCTCCTTTGGTCCACACCACGATGCTGCGAGCCTTCCCAGAGAACCTGAGGAAAACCACAGAAACCATCATCCCCAGGGCTCCTCCCTCCAGGACCGTGTTCGACGATGTGAGTGGTGAAGGGTGCTGGGTCACTGAAGAGTCTGTGCTGCTTGGGGTGGGCACTGGGTCCCCAGCATGGGATAGGACAGGAAGGAAGTCCCAAAGCCAAGTGCCCTGCGGTCCATTCCTCTTGTGTCACCCAGCCCCGGGCGTGTGTTGCAGTTCCTGGCCCCGAGCAGCCCGGAGGAGCCAGCTGTGCGCAGCGAGGGGCAGCTCCAGCCAGACCCCGCACCGGGTGAGCAGGTGGAGGTGTACCCCGAGTCTGGCACCTGGGACCTGGTGATGGCTGGCGTTGGCACGGCTCTGCTGGGCGGGGGAATCCTGGTCCTGATGCTCACGGTGAGTGCTGGTGGTGGTGGGAGAGTGACACAGCGGCACCAATGCCCCAGCGCAGCTCCAGGCTCTGAGTATTGCATGGTTTGTGTTGCAGAAACTGCAGCGGCAGCATGAGGCGCAGCAGCAGCAGCTGGAGGAGCAGATACAGCTCCTGCAGCAGCAGCAGGAGATGCTGCGCTCGGGCCGCGTCTCCAGGGAGGGCGTCCCTGAGGAGCCCAGGGAGCTGGAGCTGAGCCAGGGAAGTGCATCAGAGCTCTCGCAGAGCTCCAGCCCCTCCGCCTGCCTGAAGGACCCGGCTAACGGGACAGTCAGCCCAGAGCCAGCTGTCCCAGTGGCTGCTGAAGGTGGGTGCAGGTTCTGGGGGCTTCTGTGCAGAGATGCCAGTGCCCAGAGCAGGTGCAGGGATGCCTTCAGATGAGAGGGCTGCAGCCTACCTGGGACAGGAGGACCTGTCAGATCTGCTGCTGGATAAGCATGGCCTACATCAGAGTAGGGCCCAAGAAATGGCCAGATGAATAGAGAAACAGGTGTCCTCCTTACAGAACTAGTGCTTGGAGGCTGGAAGACCGCTGTCTTCTCTCCATTGCAGATGCAGAACCAGACCTGGTTGTAGTTGGGAAAGTTTCTTTTAACCCCAAGGACGTGCTGGGCCATGGAGCTGGAGGAACCTTTGTTTTCAGGTGGGTGACACTGGTGCCTGCACTCTGCTCCCTTTCTCCCTGGGAGCCACAGGAAAGCGACAAGGCAGCTCAGGGTGGTGGCCACTGGTTCAGGAACTTTTGAGAGCTCACCCCTTTTACCTTCTTCTGGTCCTCATCCCACCCATCCTGGAGCTGGGCTCGTGGCCCTCATTGACCAGACACTGAGTACACAGGGCAGGTCCCCCTTGCACCCCCTGCACCTGCTCTGGCCCCTCGCACAGTTCCTAGGCTCTGGCTGAGCCCTTTTTCCAGCACTGAGCTGTAGGGATGTAATTTTCTTACAAAATTAAGAGCTTCCATTTCCCAGCTTACGCTGGGAAAATCTCTTCCTGTCGGTGATGTGACAAGGCTTTGGGGGCACAGCAGTGACCTATGCTGGGGTCCCTGTGGGTGAGCGTGGCTGGGCCGTGCTGCACACGGACACAGCGGGGGCTCTCTGCACAGGGGGCAGTTCGAGGGCCGCCGTGTGGCCGTGAAGCGCCTCCTGCCCGAGTGTGTCCACCTGCTGGACCGCGAGGTCCAGCTGCTCCGGGAGTCGGACGAGCACCCCCACGTCGTCCGCTACTTCTGCACCGAGAGGGACCGGCAGTTCCACTACATCGCCATCGAGCTGTGCTCCGCCACGCTGCAGGAGGTGAGCCCGGGCACAGGGCTGCTGCTGCGGTGGGGTGTCTCTCCAGCCAGCTTGCCTTTGCCCAGTAAATCAGGCTTAGTTCCTCTCCTCCTGTGTGGTTCCAGTACGTGGAGAGCCCCAGCTTTGAGCGCCGAGGGCTGGACCCAGTGTCTGTGCTGCATCAGACCATGTCCGGGCTGGCCCACCTGCACTCCCTCAGCATTGGTAAGGACCAGCAGTCTCCTCTGCAGCCTCTCCTGCAGTGGCTGTGGGGGCAGCAGCACACGGGACTGTGGCAGAGCCCTGTTTGCTCCAGCCCTGCCAGGTGACAACACACCCTCTCCCTTGCAGTGCACCGTGACCTGAAGCCCTGTAACATCCTCATCTCTGTCCCGAATTGCCACGGGCAGATCCGCGCCGTCATCTCCGACTTCGGCCTTTGCAAGAAGCTTCAGGGGGGACGACAGAGCTTCAGCCTCCACTCCGGGATCCCTGGCACTGAGGGCTGGATCGCGCCCGAGGTGCTGCAGGAGGCCCCGAAGGAGAACCCTGTCAGTGAGCCATGGCCACCCCTGCCCGGGTGCTCCTTGGGCCCATTGTGGCAGTGTCCCCCATGCTGGCAGTGGCCTCAGGTCACTCTGCTGAGGTGCACACTTAAGATGAGAGCTCCATGAGCCAGAGCCAGCCAAGAAACAAGCACTGTGCTTCTTTGCCAGGGCTGTCCCCATCCCCCTGCCCCTGGGGACAGTGCCCAGCTGTATTCAGCAGATGTCTCATTAGGCTCCATTAGTCCTCAGAAATTTGGGGCAGGGAGGTTGGAGGGGCTGTGGGTGGCTGCCAAGGTCACACTTCTCCTCTCTTCAGAATTGGGGATCTCATTCCCACTGGAAGCAGCTGCTGTACTGATCCTGGGCAGGGCAGTGCTGGGGCTCATGCTGGTGTCTGACTGCTGGTGGGACACCAGCAGCCCCTGCATGTCTGTTGGGCTGTGAAGTCCTGAATTCTGCCTGTGCCTCTGGAAACCCCTTCTCTGTTGGGGACGTGGGGTGATGGGGCTCACAGGTGGCAGAGCAGGAGCCCCATGCCATGCATTTTCCAGCAGCTCTGCAGCCAGTGACCAATTGTCCACATAAAAGCACAGAAAAGTGGGAGGTAAAGGTTTCCTTGCCCTTTGCCTGAGGGTCCCACATGCCCCCGTGTTTTACAGACCAGTGCTGTGGACATCTTCTCAGCTGGGTGCATCTTCTACTACGTGGTGTCGGGGGGACAGCACCCCTTTGGGGACAGCCTGCGGCGCCAGGCCAACATCCTGGCGGGCTCCTACCAGCTGAGCTGCCTGCAGGAGGAGGCTCATGGTGAGAGCCTTCCTCAATGACACAGCACCGTGGGGAGCCTCTGGGCTGGGGGCAGCTCCTGTTCCTGGCGTGGGGGTGAGCTCTCTGCTGTTTTGTTTCACCTCCAGACAAACTCGTTGCGAGGGAGCTGATTGTGGCGATGATCAGCTCCGAGCCCCAGCGCCGGCCCTCAGCCCCTGTGGTCCTTGTGCATCCCTTCTTCTGGAGTCAGGAGAAGCAGCTGCAGTTCTTCCAGGTGAGCCTGTGCTGTCCCACCGGCGGTGAATGCAGGTGTGCACTGCAAAACGTGCTGCAAACTACTGCGTTCAAGTCAACATGCTCATTGTGAGCTGCTCTTAGGAGGGGTGAGGGGTCCCTGGGTCTCTGTGCCACCATGTGCAGAGCAAGGGCAGTGCCATAACAACCTCTTGGGCACGTAGGACGTCAGTGACCGTGTGGAGAAGGAGCCAGCCGAGGGGCCCATCGTCTCAGCCCTGGAATCGGGGGGACGGGCAGTGGTGAGGACCAACTGGAGGATGCACATCTCCCTGCCACTGCAGATGGGTGAGCACGGAGGGGCCAGGCTCGTCACTGGGTCCAGTGAAGCAGGTAGGGACTGGGGCTCCAAGGGCTGGTGCTTTTACTGGCCAGCAAGCACCTGCTTGTGCCCAAGAAACGAAAAGCGGGGCAGGTAAAGGTGGCAACTCTTCCTTGGAGGCCACAGTGCAGCAGGGCTGGGGCTGGCACTACAGGGGCTGAGGCAGCCCCACCCCGGCTGTGTCTCCCTTCCCTCACTCCGTGTCTCTCCTGCTGCCCCCAGACCTGAGGAGGTTCCGCACCTACAAGGGAGGGTCAGTGCGTGACCTGCTGCGGGCCATGAGGAACAAGGTACGGCCACCAGCTGCCCCGCGGCCCCGCCGCCTCCACCGTCCCCGTCCTCCCTCACCTCGCCCTCTCTCCTGCAGAAGCACCACTACCACGAGCTGCCGGCCAATGTCCGGGTGGCCCTGGGCTCCGTCCCCGAGGGCTTCGTGCAGTACTTCACCTCCCGCTTCCCGCGGCTGCTGCTGCACACGCACGGGGCCATGCGGGTCTGTGCCCACGAGCGCACCTTCCACGCCTACTACTGCCAGGGCTGAGGGGCGATGGCGCCTGAGGGCCACGGGTCCTGCCCACGGGTCGTGCCTGAGGGCCACAGGTCATGGCTGAGGGCCACGGGTCCTGCCTGAGGGCTGTGGGTCGTGCCCGAGGGCCACGGGTCGTGCCTGAGGGCCACGGGTCGTGCCCGAGGGCCACAGGCCATGGCTGAGGGCCACGGGTCATGCCTGAGGGCTGTGGGTCGTGCCCGAGGGCCACGGGTCGTGCCTGAGGGCCGCAGGTCATGGCTGAGGGTCACAGGTCCTGCCCGAGGGCCATGGGTCCTGCCTGAGGACTGTGGGTCATGCCTGAGAGCCACAGGTTGTGCCCGGGGCCTGCGGCCACTCTCCCCACCCAGGCTCTCTCTCATGGCTGTCCTGCTGCCGGGCCAGGCTGGGCTCTGCAGATGGGGCACAGGGCAGCAGAGGTGGGCACACCTGGAGTTCCCTGAGGGACCCTCTGGGCAACCACCTTTGCAAACACTCACAGTCAGACTCAGGTGTGAAGGCCTTTGGGTCAGAAAACAAAGACATCTCAGGTGGACACAGTGCTTGGAGAAGAAAGAGGAAAGCACGCTGTGTTTTCACAGGGACAGCCACAGCCAGGCCCTGGCAGAGCTGCCAGGCTGCCATCAGTCCTGGGGACATTCAGCAGGGACAGAAAGCTTTGTCCCATGGGTTCTCCCCTGTGGCAGGGGACACAGCTCCTTGAGCTGTGCCCAGGACCAGCTCCTGACACTGGAGCTGCCCCTCAGCCCCGGCAGGGCTGTGTGCAGCCAGGCCAGGCCGAGCAGCCACGCTGGGGCTAGCACCTGCCCGTGGCAGCCGGGCTGTGAGGCACAGCCCTGCCATCAAAGTGTGCCTCTCAGCTGGGCTCAGAACAAGGCTTCTCCCTTAGGGGCCCCAGCAGCCTGTACCTGTGCCAGGCCTGGTGGCACAGCAGTCCAGGAACAGTTGTCCCTGGGCACAAAGGAGGGAGTTCCTGTCCACTGGGATCCTTCTCACAGACAGGCCTATGCCTGCAGCTCCCCCAGCCTCTCCTGCTGCCCAGGGCAGGTATCCCATGAGTGCTGTGGTTCATGGCAGCCCCGTGGGCATGTGTTCCCTGTGAGCCATCCTCCAGCACCAGCTGAGCCCGTGGGCACAGAGAGCCCCACAGCAAAGTTCCTCCGTGGAACAGCAATAATTTTGTATAGTCCGATTCCTGCGTGTGCTGGGGTGTGGGATTTTGTTACACAGGTAACAGGGTTTGTACCAGGTTTCTTTTCAGAATATATTTATACAAAATGTTATAAAAATTAAAAAATACAACCTAAAAAGCATTTCCTGCTTAAACTGACCTGAGAACACCTCTAGCTGCTGGTAGAGGCAGTGGTGGGAGAGCAACACAGCGAGGGCACTGAGCTCCTGCAAGACTCTGCTGCCTGAGAGGACTTGTGCTGATCCTTTAGCCATAATTAGTCATGGAGCCAAGAAAGAGGCAAGCCCAGCCCAGGGCTGTCACTAATGGCAAGAGGATGCCTCATTCAGAGGGGAAGCCAGAGAGGTGCTGCCCCCTCTCTCAGCAAGGAAATGGGAAGTGAAACAGCCCGGATGCTGTGTCAAACAATCTTTATTCAAGTTATGCAATATACAAAAGTTGAGGTTTCATGGAGTTTTAGTATTAAAAGCCCAATTGCTCAAATCTCACTCCGGGCTTGTTCAGTACTTTACCTGAGCTTCTACCAGAGGAAACGAAGCCCAGAGCACAGGCACAGCCATGTACGGGCACCTCATGTGCCAGCTTTGCTCTCTCAAGAGCAAGCCCTCAAACGAGAGGGCTGGTTTGGAACTGGGTTTTTGTCTTTGGGAAAGTAGAAAAACGGACTAGGTAGGGAATTAAAAAATACACCTTGTTAGGAACAGGAAGCAAGAAACCTTTGGGCACCAGTCAGTGGACAACACCATTCCCACAGCAGCAGGGGCTTCCTTGTGGCAATGAGCCCAGACCCAGGAGCGGGAACCCAGCTGGGCCACGGGAGGGAAGCCGCCAGACCTCTCCCTCCACAGCTGGGCAGTGTGGCACAGATGTTGAGTCCAGCAAGAACAGGGTCTAAGTGGAAGATTTCATCCGGCCCGAGCCAGACTTGGAGCTGAGGAGCTTCTCCACCATGGTGCGGGCGTAGCGCAGGCGGCTGGCTAGCTCCCGGCAGCAGCCGTGCTCCTCGATCAGGCTCAGCTTGTACGTGCGGAAGTCCCGTTTCTCATCTATGTACGTGACAGCAGCCATGAGAGGGCACAGGATCACCTTGGTGTGGTCCTGGGGGGAGAGGAGAACACACGGTCACTGAGCACTGTGCTCCTCGGGGCAGCATTTCCTCTGGATGAGCCATCTCAGCAGCACCCGGGGTGTGTGACAAAGTCCCTCTGTAGAATTCCTTCAGAGCACAGCAAAGGGCAAGAGCTGGCTGCAGCAGGCAGCCTGCTGCTCCAGAGCACAGCCCCTCACGAGCCAGGAGAGTCTGGGGGCCTCAGGTACCAGCACAGACAGCTCCCAGTGCAGAGCCTTGGCTCAGGCCATCCCCTCCTGCCACTGTCCCAGCAGCACCACATGCAAGCACGGCCCTGCACAGAGCCTCACCTGGAAGAAGTTGATCTGCACAGTGCCGTTGCTGAGGTGCAGGATGATGGCACTGCGGGTCCGGAACCAGGTGCACAGGTAGGGCAGTCGGGCCAGCTCGTCCCCTTCCCGTGGCGTGATGTTCGCCCCTGCCTTCAGCAAGTGCTCGCTCATGTAATTCCGGAAGTACTTCAGTAGTGTTATCTGCAGAAGAGATGGGCCGTGAGGGGCTGAGGGTGACCCCAGGCATGGGGGGAGTACAGGGACTGCCATCACAGTCCTAGACCCTCCTTACATCTTTCAGAGCCTGAGGTGTCACTGCAAGGACTTGTGCAAATCCTCAAAGTTAACTCTGACCATGACACATCAGACTCGCTTTGCTGAACACTTCGGTATGTGCCAAGTCATGTGAGCACTTAAATTCCTGTGAAAGTGCTCATAAATGAGCCTCAGATAGCAGCTAGAGCTGCTAGTGTCTGTCCTTGGGACCACATGTCACCAGCTAGAGGAAACCTGCAAAGTTCCAGTGACCTCCAATAAATGTTTCTCCCTGGAACCCACCCTGCCACCAAAGCCTAAGGGTGGCAGGAGCCTCACCACCCCCCAAGCCAGGGCTCCTGTCCCCAGGACTGACCTTCTTGTTCAGGGCAGAGGGGTAGGACCTCACAGTGAAGTAGGACTCTGTGTTGTTCTGCTCAATGTACTGCAGGTTGTCCCCATCGTTGTACATGATGAGCCGAGTGGAGTCATTGAAGAGAACCCCAACGCTGTTGTCACAAAGCTGGTAACCTGCCCAGAAGGGACCCCATGAGACCTCCAATCTCAGGGGACCACCAGCGGTGGGAAGCACCAAGGCAGACGGTTTATCACCCAGGGAGTCTCCAACAGCCACCCCACCATGTCCCTGCCAGGTCTGCTCTTTGAGGAGCTCTGGCTGGTACTTTTCCAGCTCTGGATTTGTCATCTCCCTTACTGCATCAGCTGCTTCAAAAACAGCTTCTGCTACCACCATGGACCCCTGTGCAGGCTGGGGAGAGCTTGGTTACCTCATGCACGTGTACCACTGTCCACATTAAAGTGGCCAGGGCTGATGGTCAGTGACCACCACTCTGGATTCCTGGGGTATGTGGTAAGACTCCTGGCAGTGGTCTTGGACACACACTGGAATAAGGTGATTAAAAACCCAGACTAAGAAATGCCCCAATCCAGGCTTCTTCCAGCCCCCTCAGACACGAGGAAAGCCAGAAGCATTGCCACCCATAGTGTTTACCGAGTCCATATTTATCCGAGTAGTCCACCCATTTGCTAACCCAGAAGATGGGAATGCAGGCTGGGTCTTCAGCTTCTTCTGCAGGAAGAAAGCAGCTTGTTAGGAGACATTTTCCACAGGCTGTGCACCCACGAGGCCCGTGGGCTGCCCCAGGCTCACCTTGCCTCACTGCTACTCTCTCGGAGGGCTTGGCTGCGTTGACTGCAGTCAGCTGCTGCAACATGTCAGCCAGGTGGCAACTGACAGCATCTCCCACCTCCCGCAGCCCCGCCGCCTCCTCCTTGTCCGGCAAGGGCTCCTGTGCAGGGCTGTCCAGTCCTGGCCAGAGAGAACGGTGTGAGAACAGTGTGACCAGGACGAGGTTTCCAAAGGCACCAGACATGCAGACAGCACCCGACACACAGAATGGATCATGATGGAAGGGACCATGGTGGGACATGAGCAGGGTAAGTCCAGAGCACAGGGCCCAGGACGTGTCCAGAGGATTCTGGAATACCTCCAGTGAGGAAGAATCCACACACCCTCTTCTAGGGAATCTGTTCAGTGCTCAGGCACTGAACAGAAGGTCTTCCTCACATTCTGGTGGAACTTCCCGGGTGTCAGTTTGAGCCCATTTCAGAGCTGAAGCAAATGCAGCACTTTGTCCCGGCCAGAGCCCCCTCACCCACAAATGCTGGGATGCTGCTGGAGGCCAGGCAGGCCCTGGCCAGCGCTGCAGCCCAGGCACACCTGGGCACACACACCCACCTTTATTGAGCGCGGTGAGCGGCCTCCGCCCACCCAGCTCCATGCTGCTGGGAGCCAGGGAGAAGCGGGGCGCGATGGTGAGGCAGCTGGTGGGCAGGCGGCCGGGGAGGTACCCCGAGGTGAAGAACTCGTCGTTCAGCAGCTCGTTGATGGTCGGGCGTGTGGCAGGGTCCGACCTCAGCATCTTCTGGATGAGGCTCGCAGCCACAGGGTTGATGTGCTGAGGGACAGGTGGAGTTTAGAGACCGGGGACAATGTGCACTAGCAACAAATGAACAGAGTTTACAGCCCAGGGAAGCTCCATTTGGAGCAGAACTCCAGTGCCACATCAGGCAAGTGGGACACAAAGCTGGGGAAGCAGAATTGGGTAGCACAGAGAACCGGCTACTAACAGCACCCAAAGCCTGAGGTCAAATTACTTGGAGCAACACCAGCTCATCAGCAGTGGGATGAGCTGGGGACCTGGCCAAGACCTCATGGACTTGCCCATGTCCATTCACCCCCAAGGGAGCTGCTGGCTCCCCACGAGGTTCACGCCACCCCAACCTGAACAAGCCCCCCAGCACTGAGAGCCCCTGCCCTGCTATGTGAGAGCCCATGGAGTGCCAGACACAGAGGCTGCAGCAGGAGGCTCACCAAGCACCACTGTGAGCCAAACAGATGCTCCATGGGAAGCAGCATACCTTTGGAATGGTGTACTCGTTCTTCTTGATCCGGATGTACGTATCCTTTAGACAAGACGTCTCAAAAGGCGGTTTCCCCACTAGAAGAGTGTACCTGGGCATTCCCAGACAAAAAGGTGTCAGTTTTGCAAAAGAGACTCAGATTGTGCATAGAAACAGCCATGTCCTAAGCACAGGGGCTTTCCTGGCAGAGGGAACATGCTTAGCATTCAACACACTGACAGCTATGTGTACTGTGCCTGGATCCTGTCCCTTGGACAGGGAAGTTGGAATCTAGCACCCTGCAGGGAAAGTTTCAGTTGGGGAAGGTTGAGAGCTGCCTGGCAGCAGGACGCAGCACTGTGGGGACAGTGACCTGGAGCTTTGGATCACCCTGAAGCTCAGAGGGGCCAAGGAGACCAGAACCACAGGGATTGCCCATCCCCACAGCCTCTGAAAGGCAGTTTGACTCACATGATGCAGCCAATGGACCAGATGTCCACCTCGAAGCTGTGCCCCTTCTTGCCCAGCACCTCTGGGGCGATGTAGTTGGGTGTCCCACACAGGGTCTTCTTGCGCTCCCCATCGTATTCTACTTTGGTGGCCAGACCAAAGTCACCTGGAGGGACAGGGAGATGGGATATGCCCAAGATGCCCTGGCTGGCTGGTCCCTGGGCTGGGGTCCCTGCCACTTACCGATCTTCACCTCCATGTCGTCGCTGAGGAAGAGGTTGCCGAGCTTCAGGTCGCGGTGGATGACGCGGTGGCTGTGCAGGTACTGGCAGCCCAGGATGGTCTGGCGCAGGTAGTAGCGCACCTCGGGCTCGCTCAGCGCCTTCCGCCGCTTGTGCAGCTCCAGCAGCGACTGTGGGGGACGGTCGGTCAGTACCGGGCGGGGTTGCGGGACAGGGATGAGATCAGCACCGCAGGACGCGGGGAAGGGGACAGCCCGTACCCGGGGACACCGACACCCGCCCCCGGCCCCTCACCCTGCGGCGGCAGAGCTCCAGCACGACGTAGACGAAGTCGTCGTCCTCGAAGAAG